TGGAAGCAACTCATAATTAATAATCCCCTTCTAGTCCCACCACATTCGTAGCAGAACCTTCCTGGCCATTAGTCCTGGTTTGCCCACCGTTTGAGGTGCTTCACTGCTCTTTGACCACGATCGTTTTCGCACAGGGTTATCGTTGGTGATCATCTACAGTCATCATCCGTTTAAGAAATGGGTCTATCTCATTCCGTTTGGCCAAGGCTTCGTAGATGGAAATTCGATCCATCCATTTTTTCTTTTAATTGGTGTGGCACCCAAACATCGAGCTTCTTTTTGAATCCAGCTTTGTGTAAATGCTTTAAAATAGTTTTATGGTCGATTTAAGCGCTGTCGGTAAACTTCGATCATTTTCCCATTTCCCGGCCTAATGAATTTCCTCAATCCTCAGACGAACATGATGATTTTTTTTTTCTATAGAAAAACTGTCCTCAGACCTCATGTTTTTTCTATAGAAAAAATAGTCCTCAGACCTCATAATTTTTTCTATAAAAAAATTGCCCTCAGACGGATGTGAGGATTTTTTTATAGTACTCTGACGGACCTGAGGATTTTTTTCATAGAAATAGTCCTCAGAAAGATGTGGAGAATTTTTTTTATAGAAAAAATAGCCTTCAGACGAATCTGAGGATTTTTTTATAGAAAAAAAAATAATCCTCAGACGGACCTGATGATTTTTTCTATGGAAAAAATATTTATCAGACGGACATTAATTTTTTTTTTTTAGAAAAAAAGTAGGACCTGAGGATTTTTCATGGAAAAATAACGCTGAGTCCTTTTTCTATAAAAAATAGTCCTCAGACGGACAGAGGATTTTTTTCTATAGAAAAAAATATTCCTCAGACGAACAGATGCATTTTTTCTATAGGAAAAATAGTCCTCAGACGGAGCTGAGAATTTTTTGCATAGAAAAAGTAGTCCTCAGACGGGCCCGAGAAGTTATTGTTCTTCTAAATAAAAAATAATCCTCAGAAATAGTCCTTGAAAAGGCACCCATAGAAATGACCCCATATATCTTCTCGCATCGACCCATTTACGTATTTAAAGATTCAACAAAATTTCCCTACCTACGTGGCTGCAATGTGGTTTTTCGTTTTTTCAGAGGATAACATTTTTTTCTAGTAGAACATTTTTATTATAGGTCCACATATCCTCTTTTAAAAAACTCTGCCTTCAAGATACCAACATATACAATTTGAATTGGAACTAGTAAAATGCCATAATTACGGTCCGAAAATAGCGAAATTTTACATCGGAAATGGGATGTTTGAAATGAGTTCTCAAACATTTATAGAAAAGTTCACTAACAAAACCTCTCCAATCGAGCCGATTTTAGGCAAGTCCATTCCTCAGTAAGGGGATTTTTTTTTTTATCAAAATTAGGTTTAAAAATCAGAGGGAAACATAAAATGTTCTGCTAAAGCTAACAGCTTATTAAAAGATCTCTATTAGCCTTCTATAGGCAGAATACCTTATATATGTCTTCCGAAGATGAAATATCTTCCCTATATATTCTATAGATAGAAGTTTCCATTTAAGCCTCTTACGAAAAACTAAAGATCTCTAAAATCTTTGACAAGAGGTCTTAGCTTTTGTATGCAGAATATCTTCTACCTTTTGTAAATCTTCCGTAGATAGAAGTCGGCTTTTATATCTCCAAAAGATCGATGACCGTCTATAGGGCTTCTGTATGTATAAGAACCTCTATAGATCTTTTAGGGATAGAAAAAAAATGTTCAGGTATAGCTATAACAGCTAAACAAAATATCCATAAGACCTTTAACAATAGATTCCTAAGACTTGAAATTTTATAGGCAGTAGATTTACTACATGTCTTCTTTAGATGAAAATCCTATTTACATCTTCAAAAATATGTTCAGCTATAGCTGACAGCTAAAATATATATATATATATATATATATATATCTACAGTAGAATTCTAAGACCTGAAATTTTATAGACAAAATATAGAAAACCCACTATAAGTATTCTGTAGATAGAATAACTTGTGTGATCTTTCATAAATATTAGGTTGGGGAAAGAAATCCACTCGATAGCACTCGTAACATCGACCAGGAGCTTAAAATCGACCATATCTGTTTTAGACCATTTACACAAAAAATATAAATAATGGATTTCCCTTTCCCCAGACTAATATTTGATTTTTGTGGATCTTCTTCAGATAGAAGACCTTTTTCAAGTCTCTAAGAAATTTAACAAAAGACTCCTAAGACAACTGCCATCCATTAAACTTCTATAGACAGAATACCTTGTACATCTCTTATTTAGATATTCCAAAAGTAGAAGTTCCCATTTAGATCTAGAAAGAAAGCCCTCTCCAGGTAGTTATTCTATAAATAGAACCTTTTCTGTAGATTACACAGTATGAAGGCTTGAGTCAATTATCTAAGACCTTGAAGAAAAGATTCCTAAGGCATCCTCGCCCTATTGACTTTTCTTCAGAGGGGATGATATCTGTTGATTTTCAATAGATAGAAGTTGAATTTAGGTCTTCTAAACATAGAAGGCCTCATATACGACTTATGTATGAGGAAACCTCTCTATAGGTCTTCTAGGTATAGAAACCTTAAACTAAATTTTTAAAAAGTTCCATACATAGGTAATAGCTTAAACATTATCTTTTAGTCCTTTAAAATCTCCTACAGATAAATACTCAGAAGGATCTCTATAAGCCTTCTGTATTCAGAAGTGTTCTATAGGTCTTCTATAGGCCGAAACCACTTTGTTCTTCCATAAAATATATTTAGAAAGACCTCTATAGGCCGTCTATATATAGAAGGACGTCTATAGGGCTTTTATATTTAGAAGGACCTCTATAGGCCTTCCATAGACTAAAACCATTTTGTTCTTTCATATAAATTTTTGGGTCTTTTTAGATAGAAGATCTTCTTCAGGTGAGAAAACGAATCGAAGCCCAATTTATGGATTTTTGGCAACAATTTTCTCTTAACAGATACTTGTGAGGGTTTCAGTCCTTTAAAATCTCCTGCAGATAGATACTCAGAATGATCTCTATAAGTCTTCTGCATTCAGAAGGGTTCTATAGGTCTAATATAGACTGATACCACGTTGTTCTTCCATCAAATATATTTAGAAATACCTCTATAGGTCGTCTATATTTAGAACGACCTCTATAGGGCTTCTATATTTAGAAAGACCTCTATAGGTTTTCCATAGAATAGAACCATCTTGTTCTTTCATATAAAAATGTGGGTCTTTTTAGATAGAAGATCTTCTCAGGTGCGAAAACGAATCGAAGCCCAATTTATGGATTGTTGGCAAAATTTTATCTTAACTGATACTTGTGAGGGTTTCAGTCCTCTAAAATCTCCTACAGATAAACACTCAGAGAGATCTCTATACGTCTTCTGCATTTAGAAGGGTTCTATAAGTCTTATATAGACTGAAACCACTTTATTCTTTCATAAAATATTTTTAAAAATACCTCGATAGGTCGTCTATATTTAGAACGATCTCTATAGTGCTTCTATATTTAGAAAAACCTCTATAGGTCTTGCAAAGACTAAAACCATTTTGTTCTTCCAGATAAAGTTGTGGGTATTTATAGATAGAATATCTTCTTCAGGTGCGGAATGGGATCGAATCCCAATTCACGGATTTTTTTGCAAAATTTGTGAGGGTTAAAATTTTAGACACAAATGCTCGATTTTAAAATACCTGTAGTATGTCACCAGTCATATTGGCTGCCTTCCATTGATAGGAGGAGGCCTGTAGAAGTTATTCAATCCATAAAAGCGCTTTGGAAATTTTCCAATACCAATTCACAGAATTTTTCTATGAGTGTATGAATCAACTGTTTTTTTATTATTTATAAACAAACTACTTTTATCTTAGCTAGATGATTTCTAATGCAATAAACCCTTAGCAGTAATCAATTAATATTTTTAAACACTCACACACACTGACTGACTCACATACGGATGGGGGACCCCATCAGCCGATATTTTTCAGCGATACCGACCATGTAATTAATTATAACAGCAGTCTCTTTTCGTATTTGTAAAATTTTTTCGGCATACATATGAGTGTGGGAGTGTGTGCATCTGCATGTGTGTGTGTGTTTTTTTAAGTTTCGTTATTGAAGAGTGTTGAAAAGTTCTATCAGCAAGGTTGGGTCTTCTTGGAGCGTATCTACAATTGATTGCAATATTTTAACGCATTACTATAAAAACATTGGGGAGAGAGAGAGTGGGGAATAAGAGGGTGTGCAGGGGAGCGTATGGAGGCTAAGTTGGCTTACCAACCATCAAATCGATTTAGTGCTATTGTGAAATCATGAAAGACCCCTCTATTATCTATATACCGTCATTGTCAACAAAAATTAAAAATAACTGAAACTGAAAAGTAAATTAATAAAAATTAACACACAAAAAAACTCAAGCGGACAGTTGTTCGTTCTGCGGTAAAAAAAAAATCGAAAAACGCATTTCATTTAAAACAAACAAAAAAGTTCAATCGGTGTTAATGCAACAGTTGGGACGCACCCACAACAAGAGGATACCAGAGCTTTTTTATATTGCATTATTTGTTGTATTAATAAAAAAAGATAAAAAGAAGAAAGGAAATAAAAAAGCAACACAAATTTCAAAATTTATATATGTCTTCTCTATATTTGCACATTTATAATTTCGATGGTGAAATATTTTCTTACAGTGTACCAAAACATCAAAGTTCAAAATCCGATAAAACACAAACTAAACATTTTATTTGTTTAATAATTAAAAACCAAAGAGACTGTTTTGAAACCTTAATATATTATGAAAAAATATGATTTGAAGAAAGAACTTCAAAATCAACCCAAAAAATCTTCAAATATTCTTCTGTTGCCTGTTTGAAACGCTTAGAATGCATGTTATGACAAATATTCCGCTACATCTGATTTGTGTTGATTCCACGACGAGTCCAATTACAAATCTAAAAAGCACCGCCAACGACAACCACACATCAGCTGCCATTGAAAAATTCATTTGGAATTCAAAGAATCTGTTGTTCGTGGTTCAGAATGGGATTTTTCTCCAAAGCCGCCTACATTGTTTGGGCTGTGTAAGTATTTTATATTCTCTATTTTTTTGCATTGACCGGAAATCAAAATATCGCATTTATGTTTAGAATATTGTTCCAGGGGATGAACTTAAAGAAATTCGATTATAACTACAAAAATGATTTCATGTTTATCGAAAGCTACTGGAGGATTTGAAGCTATAGAAAAACTATTGGAGGTATCTAGCTATTGATAAAAAACCTTCTGTAGATCTTCTACAGAGCACCCATAAAAAATACCTTATGCAGAACTTCTGTAAACAATAGGTTAACAATGGACGGAAGACCTTGACCTTCTACAGAATAAAACCTCTATATGTGATGGGATGTAGGTTTCCTATAAATAGAAACTTTAAAATGTTCTGCTACAACTAATATATTCCTCAAATGTGTACCCTCTCTTGGGAAGAAATCTTGGGAAGATCCTGAGGTGATCGGCACTTTGGTATTTTTTAGTGCCAACATTGCTTTCCAAAATAAACAATACACAATAGTCCAACGGATTGATATCCGGAAATTTTGGTGGCCATTGTGCCCTGGAAATGAAGCGAGGAGCCTAATTTTGTAACCATTCTTGGGTGATGCGAGCTGAATGCGATGGTGCTGAGTGCTGTTGGAATGTCCAAGGGATGTGGCCAAAATGTTTGCGTGCCCAAGGCTTTAATACACCCTCCAGAATATTTTCGCGATAATATTCGGCATTTATTATCATGCCACGGTCGATTAATACGAGCGGAAAGCGACCATCGGCTGTTATGGCGGCCTACACCATCACCATGGCCGGTGCTTAAGTTCTGGTGGCCAATCGAAGCAACACATTTTCAGCTGACCTCTTTGGCAAGTAAACACGATCATTTTGTTTACAAACTGCTGGACAACGAATGTTTTCTCATCGGAGCAAAACCAAATTCGGCAGTTCTTTTGAGTGTATTTTCTTTCTGTTGTGGAGTGCTCTAACGATAGCTACTTGTAGTTTTCCAGCCAAATATAAAAAACTCACACTATCACGCTTGAATTCCTTCACGAATAACTTTTTTCTGGAAAATTCGCTTTTGTACGCTTGTAAAGAATATACTGAGCTGTCACTGGAATAATTTTAACAGCTGTCGAGGCTTAGAAATGACAGCAATCTGAAGTTGGTTGCAGGTTTTTCATCTCAATCTGTAGGTCTTCTATAGACAGAATACCTCCCCTGAAGAACCTCATTTCTATTAAAAAGTATGTAATTTTTAGCATACATGATAATCAACGTCAATGTGTTATGTTATTGAAAAGTCGCGAAGACCTTCTATGAGGGCTACTATATGTTTCTGATATAGCCATTGGAATGCTTGATATTTATTAGCATTAACACTCTCAGTACGGTTTGACGTACGGCAATGTATTGTGTACCCAGTATGGTTTGACGTACGACCATGTGTTGTGTTGTTTAAATGATTTGAAAAATCAATTTGCAAAAAAGTATAAACATGTGCTAATTTTTTTTTTAATTTTTCGAAGTCTCAAAAACTGAGATGGAGGCATCCTAGGAAATTTATTTCACCAATATGCATTTGAGCACCTGACTGTAAAAAGATGTTTTCATTGGTTAGAACACAATTTGGGAATTAATTTTCTTTAAGTCTTCCGACGAACTCATAAAATAAACAAAAGGATACGAATCATCTACTTTATGAATCTCACGCTTCGGCTGAAAACAGCGAATTTTTGACCTACCATAGAAAAAAATAGGAAAGTAGAAAAAGATTGGACCAGGGTGTCTGCGATTTTTTTTTCTATAGGAATAAATAGGAACTTGATGTCTGTGATGTTTTTCTACAAAAAAATGGACTTAGGGGTTTGTGAATTTGTTTATAATAAAATAGGACCTGGAATAAGATCTTGCGGTCTGCGTATATTTTTCTATAGAAAAAATAGACCACAGGTCTGTGAACTCTTTCCTATAGAAAAAATATTTAATTTAAGGGAACCCCACCCATTCTCGATTTTAATTTTTCAAGATTTTCAACGGGCTGGTAAATCAATACCAATGCTTGTTAAGGTTTGTAACTTTGCACATATATATTTGAAGATTTAAAAGAGAAGGATTTGTAATTGTAATTAAAGAAAAGTCCTTATTTTTGATGGCGGGCATGATAACTCCTCACTGGAACATCGGAATCCGAAAATTCCAACGGTGTTAGAAAGAATACATGTCTGGCTCTCGTATGAACTAGGATTATTGACTTCGCTCTAAAATTAATAAAATGGCGGACCTTTGAAAAAATATTTTTGAAAAATTGCCGATTTTTGACCAAAAACCAAGTTAAAAAATAAGGAAGATCTTTACCGATTGGCTTTATCCTAGTTCATACGATAGCTATACACTCACAGAGAAACGTGTACAAATTTGGAATCGATTGGGTTATTAGTTTTTGAGTTATCGTGCCCGCCATTCGCAAAAGAGAAAAACGCGTTTAAAGTTTGAGAAGCCCTTTAGCCGTCACTTGCTGCTGACACAATAAATCGGCTATATTTTCAAGAGTTCTTGAGATTTTCACTTGAACTGTTGTAGGGACAATCTTGAATTACTGTAGATTCGAATTAAATCAAAAAAAAATTTTGACCCCGAGAATGGGGGGTCCCCATAATTCACAAAAATATAAAAATAAAATATATTATTGTAATAAAAATCAGAAAAATTTCAACTTCATCAACATACTTTAGAATTTTGAAAACGACCCAAAACATTAATTAATAATAAAACTCCTATGCATTTCAATTTTTAATATTTGTCCTCTAATTTACTGAGGGTCGGTCACACATTAACATACATTGTGTTTTTGCAATATTAATATTATAGAAGTTTTTTGTTGTTATTTTTATGTGTTAAATATTTTCTGTTAACGCCCCAATGACCAATTTATTGTCGCATCACAAAAAAAAACATTAAATTCTCAAGCAAACAAAAACACATCTCTAATTTATTCATGAAACGGTTCAGTGATTTAATTCGGGCATTGCATGAAAGGATCCACCAACCCCCAAAAACGATCCGAAAAAAAAACTAAATGACAAACCCACTTAACGACATTTAATGAAAAATTACGGTTTTATGCGGGTGTTACTTTTTTCAACACTTGAAACATTTTTTGCAATTTTTTGTATTAATTAAGTGTAGAATTTGTTATTATTCAAGTCCAAGGTTAAATCTATTAAGGATTATTTTTCATATCCATTGGAGTTATGAAATTGTGTCATTAGTGTCTGATGGCGTTATTAGAATAAAAAGCATATAATTTATAGTTAGCCCTACACTAAGAGATGTCAGAAGTTTTGAGTTTTTTGAGCAACTAAAACCAAACCAAAAATGGGTAGGCCGATTCATCGGGTCAATCGGTCCACACTTCCTGATACCTTATACTTGATGTGGGCCTGATAAATATTACGATGTGCCAAGTTTGGTTTAAATTGGATATTAGTTCGCTTCATACGAGTTTTACACATTTTCAATTGTTTACCCCCCTGAGGCAGGAGATACTAGAAGGAGTAAACCGATTAACCGCATTTAAAAATATTATTGGTTAACATAGTAGGTTGTTTAAAAATTTGTTCATATCTGATACTCCCTTCGTATTATATTATAAAATCAATTTTCAGCAAAATGTTTTTAGCATTTTATGGGAGAGGTATCAGAAGAAGTGGACCTATCCTATATCGTCAATATTTATGTGTTCAATCTTGATGTGCAAAGTTGGGATAAAATTGTTTACTCCCTTAGAGCCTTCAGCCAGAAACGGATTAAGCATATTTTTACCGTATCAAAGGGTATATACAGGGTGAGATGAAAAAACTGCAACCAACTTCAGACTGCTGTCATTTCTAAGCTACTCGTCCGACAGCTGTTAAAATTATTCCAGTGACAACTCATTACATTGTTTATAAGCGTACAAAAGCATTTTGGTGAGAATTTTCCAGGAGGGTGTATCAAAGCCTTGGGTACGCAAACATTTTGGTTACAAAATTAGGTTCCTCGCTTCATTTCCAGCGCACAATGGCCACCAAAATCTGCGGATACCAATCCGTTGTACTATCGTGTGTGGAGTATTTTGGAAAGCAAGGTTGGCACTTAAAAATACCAAATTGTCGATCACCTGAAGCAAGTGCTTCGCCGGCAATGGGCCAAAATTCCGCAGAGCAACATTTGGGCAGCGTGTAACGGTTTCATTGGCCGTCGCCATAATTCGTGCCAAAGGTGACCAATTCGAAAAAAATCTGAACTTATTCTAAAATTCGATGCTATTTCCGACAGTCCTTGCTTTCATTCAATAAAATTAAAAAAAAACTTATGACGTTTGACTTTGTTGAAATTTTTTTTATCTCACCCTGTACTCCCATTAGCCATAAGGCGTAGGGTATAAAAATCACTGTTAAAAGGGCTTTGGCAAATATATTCCCTAAAAATCTGCGCTTCTAATGAAAATATTATTCAAAGAAATCCACAAATTATATTGGTCCAATCTCTGACGGTCCTCGCTTCCTAATTCCTTTGAAAGGTATTTAGAAAGGCTTTTTAATCTGTGCCTTTTATGGTTGTTGTCCTTGAAAAATGTTTAAATGGTCACCGAAAAAATACTCTTTACAAAACGCACGCCTTAATTTTCCCCCTGAAAAAAAACTCTTTATGAAATTCCGAATGAAATTCTTTAAGAATTCGCGCCTTAATTTCCGCCCGAAAGAAATTCTTCAAGAAATTCACGCCTGAATTTCCCCCCGAAAGAAATTCTTTAAGAAATCCAGGCTTTAATTTTCGCACGAAAAAATTCTTTAAGAAATCCAGGCCTTAATTGTTCTCTCGAAAAATATTCTTTAAGAAATCCACGCCTGAATTTCCCCCCGAAAGAAATTCTTTAAGAAATCCAGGCCTTAATTTTCGCACGAAAAATATTCTTTAAGAAATCCAGGCCTTAATTGTTCTCTCGAAAAATATTCTTTAATAAATCCACGCCTTAATTTTCGCACGAAATATATTCTTTAATAAATCCACGCCTTAATTTTCGCACGAAATATATTCTTTAATAAATCCACGCCTTAATTTTCGCACGAAAAACTAGGCTTTAATAAATCCACGCCTTAATTTTCGCACGAAAAACTAGGCTTTAATAAATCCACGCCTTAATTTTCGCACGAAAAACTAGGCTTTAATAAATCCATGCCTTAAATGTCCCCGAAACCCTAGTCTTTAATAAATCCACGCCTTAAATGTCCCCGAAACCCTAGTCTTTAATAAATCCACGCCTTAAATGTCCCCGAAACTCAGTCTTTAATAAATTTCATATCTTACCTTTTTTCTTATTAGTGCTGTGATGCTCAGAATAATTTCCTACAGGAGAATAACAACTACCAAAGATATATTTCTCTCCATAAATGTTTCTCTCTGATAAAAATATGTATTTTCTAATTTTCTAAATATACCGTAAAGGTGATATAGAAAATCGCTGGAATTAATTACAATATTTATTTAACATTTAAAAATCCCAATCAATCACTCAATCTCTGGCTTTTCTGCCGAGTAATAAGGAAAGAACCTAGAACACGAACGAACGATCAAATATATAATTTTCTCAATATGGTACCGTTAAAAAAATCAATTGTAATTATTTTTGCATTTCGCTATAAATTAAATTGAACACAATATTCTGTTTAAATAACAATAATAATTATTAATTGCCAAAAATTAAATATATTTAGTTGATACATACAAATACATATATTTGTTGATGCCTTCGGTTGAATAATTTGTTGTACCATTTAATTGTATTTAATGAATCAAACCATTATGAGTCAAACCAATATTTGCACGTGAACTAATAACGCTCAATTTGAAACAGTTAACATTGAAAATAAAACACAAAAAAGAACAACAACAATAAAAAAACAGAACCAATTAACAAAACTTTTGTTTGTTGTTCAAACTGTTGTTGTTGTTCTTTAAAAAGAATATTTAAACTATTACACAAACAGCAATTAACCTTTTTTTGAATAAAAGTGAAAATATGTTTGAACAGATATGATCGGCAGAATTGACTTTAAAATATCCTACATAACTATACCCTAGAATAGATGATAAACGATATTAGATATATATTCATCTTTGGGAATTTGTTGTTCCAATACAAAAAAAAAACTTACTATCAGGGACTTCAACATTGTCGTTAGAGGATTTCAGTTTTTTAATTCTCATGTCACCTAAGTTTATGGCCATTATAATAAATTAAAAAACAAAATCATCTGCTTCAAAAACTATAATTAATTGTTATCATTTCAAATTTTCTTGATATTTTTTCATCAACATTACAACAAAAACATTTAAGTAGCCTCAAATGATGATAGAAGTTTATAAATCTGATTCATTTCGATTCGATAGCATCATCCGCAGTATGATATGGTCTTTTATAAATAAACAATTAGAATAATTGCCTCTTATGCGTTTTGTTGTTATTAGCCACATGAATGATGACTTCAGTTTTGAGATCTTAACAACAATTTTGAAAACACGATTTTTGCCATGAAAATTATTATTTGATATTAATAAATATTTTTTTTTCCATTTTTCTTTTGCAGTCTCTTCGAACAGGAGATTATGAGCTATGTACCCATCGAAGAACGCAGTCCACAAGGTTCACCAGTGCTCAATTCACGCATGTTGCAACGAGCTCCGCCACCATTCCGGCGTGATTTCGAAGCAAAACTGAGAAGTTTCTATAGGAAACTGGAATCAAAGGGTTATGGCCAGGGGCCACATAAATTAAAGTAAGTATCACAAATACCCACTTCTGTTCCCTCTTCAAAAACTAGTCTTTAATAAATCCACGCCTCAATTGGTCCTTGAAAAATATTCTTTAATAAATCCACGCCTCAATTGGTCCTTGAAAAATATTCTTTAATAAATCCACGCCTCAATTGTCCCCGAAAAACACAGTTTTAATAAATCCACACCTCAATTGTCCCCGAAAACACAGTCTATAATAAATCCACGCCTCAATTGTCCCCGAAAACACAGTCTATAATAAATCCACGCCTCAATTGTCTCCGAAAAACACAGTTTTAATAAATCCACGCCTTAATTGTCCCCGAAAAACCCAGTCCTTTATAAATCCACGCTTTAATTGTCCCCGAAAAACCCAGTCTTTAATAAATCCACGCCTTAAATGTCCCCGAAAAAAGTCTTTTATAAATCCACGCCATAAATGTCCCCGAAAACCGAGTCTTTAATAAATCCACGGCTTAAATGTTCCCGAAACCCCAGTCTATAATAAATCCACGCCTTAATTGTCCCCAAGAAAACTAATCTTTAATAACTCCACACCTTGTCCTGGTCCTTCGATAAATATTTAAAAAATCCAAGCCTATCTTGGTCTCTGAAAAAATATGTTTTATTTATTAACCCTATTTTCTCTTCTTTCAGATTACAAATACGACGTACCCATTTACTTGAAGATGCCTTCCGTCGTATTATGTCTGCCAATAAAAAAGACTTACAAAGAGGTCGTTTAGCTGTGTTGTGGGATACTGAAGAAGGTCTGGACTATGGTGGTCCCTCAAGGTATGTTTTTTTATTCGTTAAACCGAAATTATATTTTTATTAACCCCACGTATTTTTCTGATATTTACAGAGAATTCTTTTTCCTGCTATCACGTGAACTATTCAATCCCTATTATGGCCTCTTTGAATATTCAGCCAATGACACCTATACCGTACAAGTGTCACCACTTTCAGCCTTTGTGGACAATTGCCATGATTGGTTCCGTTTCAGTGGCCGTGTCCTGGGCCTAGCTTTAGTTCATCAATATCTATTAGATGCCTTTTTCACACGGCCATTTTACAAGGCTCTACTAAGACTTCCCGTAGCTTTAAGTGATTTAGAATCCTTGGATAATGAATTCCATCAATCTCTACAATGGATACGTGACAATGACATCGGAACCGGCATTGATTTGGGTTTGACATTCTGTGTCACCGAAGAACTGCTGGGGCGTGTTGTCGAACGGGAATTGAAACCAGGTGGTAAAAATATAATCGTTAATGAGAAAAATAAAAAGGAATATTTAGAGCGTATGATCAAATGGCGTTTGGAACGTGGTGTCCAAGAGCAGACAGAATCATTGGTACGTGGCTTCTATGAAGTCGTTGATTCTCGTCTGGTATCGGTATTCGATGCCCGTGAATTGGAATTGGTTATTGCCGGTACGGCAGAAATAGATATTAACGATTGGCGCCTTAATACCGAATATCGTTCCGGTTATCATGATAATCATCAGGTGATTATATGGTTCTGGCAGGTAATTGAGAAATTCACCAATGAGCAACGTTTACGTTTGCTGCAATTTGTCACGGGGACCTCAAGTATACCGTATGAAGGTTTTTCGGCACTGCGCGGATCAACGGGCCCGCGGCGATTTTGTATTGAAAAATGGGGTAAACCAAATGCCTTGCCACGTGCTCATACATGTTTCAATCGTTTAGATTTGCCACCATATCCAACACCTGAATTACTATATGAAAAACTGTTATTGGCTGTTGAGGAGACAAATACTTTTGGTATTGAGTAAAGAGAGAAAGAACGGAGTGAAAGTAGCAAAGAAGCAACAAAAAAGAAACCGTGATATTTTTTTCGTAAAATATCTGTTAATAATATTTATTAAAATGTGTTTTTTCATGTGAGTGTGTTTATCTCTTGTCTGTGTATGTGCGTCATGTAGTTAAGCAATTTATTTAGTAATTTATTTATAACAACAAAACAAACAAATATTTTTATAAGATATTTATTATTATTTTTTATATACAAATTGAAATACTTTTTTTTTGGTTTTGAATTCGTATTATTATGTAGTTGGCCATTATTTATTAAAAAACAAAAAGATAAAATTTGATATATTCTAATGTTAATATTTGAAGACGCTGTATCCCTTGTCCTATATCTATGTAGCATTAGATAAATGTTAGTATGTAGTAGTATGTAATTGATTAATCAATCAATTGAGATATTTTTTGCCAGTTTATTGATATTGTACTAGTATCCATAAAATCCACCCATCTATGTACTCAATGATCTTTTTTATTGTCAATTTGATTGTTTTTTTTTTTTTTGTATTATTTTTTTATTTTCTAATATTTATTTTGTTGCCTTAACATATTCTTGTCTTTTTAGTCATTAGATTTGTAAGTGATATTTTATCAAGTAAAAATAATAATAACAAATGTTATTTACAAATACAAACCTACATACATTCCCTATTAACAAAAAAATTATAACACAAAATGGTCCATAGTTACTTCTAAATATGAATGTATACAATATTTCCAGAATTATTTCAATATTATTGCAATGTACAATAAAATTCCAAAATGTATTATTTTTAACACAACTATTTCCTCTGCTATTGTTATTGTGGTAGAGCCTCTTTTAAAATGAAAAATATTGAGCCTTGGAAAAGAATTCTTTTGAAAAATTCCATGCTCTGATGTACCTTGAAAAAAAATCATTTAATAAATCCAGGATCCAGGTCTAAATAGATGTTGAATAAGAAAACGTTTAAAAAATCATGGCTAATAGACCTTAAAAAAATTCTGGCTGGGGATAATAAAATAGATTTGTTAAAGAATATTTGAAAAATATTCTATAACAAATCTAGGTACTTGAAAAAATATTGAAAAAAGAGAATTAAGGCCTATTAATATTCTATAATAAATGCATCCCTTATATTCATTGAAAATGATATTCTCTAAAAAAATCCAAGCCTTAATAGACATTTAAAAAATATTCTCTTAAAAAATCCAGGCCTTAATAGTCCATAAAAATATTCGTTATGAAATCCACGAATAAAAAGTCATTTAGAAATATTCTTGAAGAAAATAGTCCTTTAAAAATATTCGTTATTGAATACATGCATAAAAAATCCTTTAAAAAAATGCAGCATTTAATTGTTCTGTAAAAAATATTCTTTAATAATAGACCTTGAAAAATATGATACGACTAGAATTTCGGCTTCTAACATTTTTTTTAATTTATCCTCGAAATATTGTATACATCATATTAACAAATCAAACAACCAGCGTTACAACCAGTAGACTACATTTAATGAAAAACAAAATAGATAAATTAATAGTATTTATTAAAATAATACATATATACACATCCATAAATACATACTAATACTAATTGAACCAAATCAAAAGTAGTATAGAAACAAAATAAATATAAAAACTGCATTCCAAACAAACTGTGAACCGTAAATATTGAAATCCTTGTTTTTTTCATATTAAATTTAACATTCCAATTATTAGAAAAACAAAAAATACATATGCAAAAAAATAATAATAATAAAATTGCATTTAGTAACAAATAATAAAGAAGTTATGTTAACAATTGTTTTAAGATTCGATTCCATCCAAATTATTATAATTTTTTATAAACATAGTTAAATTTGTTATAACCCTTTAACGAAGACAAGAAGTCAAAATAAAATTATATAAATAGGTAAATGCTTTACCCATGACACTATAAAGCTAGAAATATAATTGTTATACCCCACCATTGTAGAATATTTCGTCTTCAATCAGTCAAATTTCGAAAATGAACTTTATCGGTCTACGTTTAGGCAATCCTTCAATTTTTCGTTTGTATTTATTTTTTGAATTTTTATCAACATTTTCCAAACATTTTGACTGTAATTGAGTTTTTGCAGTTCTTAAACATCAAAAAAAAAAATCAAATTGACTGTAATTTACTATTCTGTATTCGATTGAGAATCAAATTTCCTAGCAAAAATTAACTGTATTTGTCCACGTTCATGTCTTTCATGTATACTAAAATTATTGATCATTTTAGTTTCCCGGCCTAATTAACTGACTGAGTATCAAATCCTCCTTCATAAATTACGGTCAATGTTTCACAAACTTTATAAGTGTTAATACTATTTAAACCTGATCGATAATCATCTGAATATAGAGGTTCTCTATTATCGCCCATGTGCTGCATTTCGAGTTTGCTCGTGGAAACATTTTCCCAAATTTGGTGTGCTCCATTCCGAATTCCCAAAAAAAATATTTGGAATATAATTCGAGCACATATAGCCTTGTGGATTGAAAACGAAATGAGGTCGTACGTGTTTTTCTGAGCACGTACAAGTTGAAAAAGAACGCTGAAGTAATATTTAACATGTTTTTACAATATTTATTTAAAAAATACAGTATTTACATTAGTTTTTATAGTAGAATTAAAGAAAATAAAAAAGGGCTACTCCTGGTCTGCAGCTGTCCACAGCTTGCACACTTTTTGTCTTCCAGGACTTTCATTACTCTCCACAATATTTTACACATTGTTTTGCGATCAGCACTTATTTTTAAATCATTTGCCACTACCCTCTGAAATCCACCAACAGCCAGGAATCTTAAGGTAGCTGCTAACTGCAGGCTTTCGGGAATGGTACTCTTGTGTATGAAAGGACCAACATCTCTCAAAATATTCATAAATGCTTATTTTAACACGTTCCAATATCATTAGACCTTTTCTGGTAGAAACCAGGGCAATTAATAAGCCAGCAGGCATATTTTTTCTTAATTTTGTTGTTAAACAAATTGCAAATTCCAATGAAACATATGTTTTTTTATTGAACACATTTTGTAACATATTGAACACAGCTATGCTTTCGAGCCGCACTTTCGCTCGAAATTGAGCACACCATTTTTGCACAACATGGGAATTTAAAAAAGTATGGGAATTTAAAAACACTCGGAACATGTGACATGTTGATCATTCTGACACCCTTGTCTGGGGCAGTTCTTTGCACCATATGATGGTTATGAGGGCTCGCTGTGAAGCATTTAGGGGAAGGATTTTCGTCTCCACATGTATATGGCGCACCGGTGTCATGGGGAGGACCCTTCAAAATATAACAATAATTCGAAAAAATATAAATTTATTCAAATCAAATATAAATATCTTGTGTTTTACCCACAATTTGTCTACAGAATGGACATAATATTAAAGTACCTTGATTATGATGTTTATCTTGTATTTCTTCAAACAAGGTTTATAATTTTTTGTTTTTAAAACATATTTCACATAACAATCCATCCTGAAGGACGCGTTGACTTTCATCCTCAGTTTCGCTCTCATCTATAGGTGTTCGGTCTAAAACTACTGGGGGCGAGATTATTGATTTTATTGGTCACCATCTGGGGAGTAATTTGCTTATTTGCCAGTTGCTCTGTGAGAATTTTCACTTACTCTCATTTCTGTCCCTATTTCGTTTTTTGGAGGATGTGAAATTTCCGAAACACCATCTAAAATTTGTTTCAAATCAATATGTTATGTGGAATTTCCTGGGGAAATATATGTATGTATATATATATATATATATAATAATTGTCTGAACTGGCCCTATTTGACCAGTTCAGACAATTATCTTCAATACGAATTATCTGCGATATGTGTTCGTTGGTAATAGCTGTTAATGTTGCCATCTGATTTGTAAGTTTGATCGACCCATTTTTTCCTCAACTAATTGTACATGTCCAAAAGAATCTTACAATTCGAAGATAATTTTCTTTGATTGAATTTTTGTTCTACATCGTTGAAGGGTTATTTATTTATTAAGATAGTCAGGATCAATAAATTAAATACTACACCTTAAGAAAGACTCCTCCAGCTATCTCTCTTTATTTATTCAGTTTTATTAATTTTTTATATAAAGTCTGACTCCAATACTTATAAAAAATGGTAAATAATAAAAACAAACTACGATTAAACGCAATTTTATGTTTTTATTTATTCAGTTAATATCGAACAACACAGAAAATAAATATAAAAATAAAAAACTTTACACTTTACTTTATTATTACATAAAAACTTCAACTATTCCTTAAAAAACCCCCACAATATTTGAAATAATAGACTAATCCCTAAAACAACTAAAACTATAACGCTTTATAATCTTAAAATTGTTTTAAAACCTTAATAACAATATTTATTTATATATATTTTAAAACAATGATTAATTTTATAGATATTTTAGAAATATTTTTTAAAAAACTAATTAAATACAATTTTAGGAAATAATACAAATAAAATATAAAAAATTAAAAACAAAAACTAAATAAAATAAAATGTGATTTTACGCTTGCGCAATAACCGATTAATTTTACCTACCGTTTACCATTAAAAAAAAAAACTAACAAAAACTAGAAGAAAAAAATCTTTAATTGAAATTATAAGAACAAATGTATTTCATAAACGAAAAATATCGAAAAACCTGATTTAATACCGTTGATCTTTGTTACCTGATAATTATTTATTTTATTCAAAAAGTATGTAATTTTTACTTCACAGTAAATTTTAGAAAAACGTGATTTTATTTTTTGTTTATATATTTTAAAACGTTAAATTTTAGAAAATGTTTTTAATTTCAAATTTTTATCATTAAATAAACATAAAAACCATATTTTTACAATTATCACATTGATTGTAAATTTTCAATGGTATTGAATTTCATTACACATTTTTATATAGATTTTTTTATTTCAATAAAAAGTTTTTCTGTAATGTTGA